GGAGGAGCGGCCGGGACAGAGGTGAGTGACAGGAAGCTTTGGGAGGTTCTGGGAGGCAAAGTTAGTAGAAGGCGGGACTAAGAACCAGAGGGGGCGGAGCTGGGAACGCTGCAGGCAGAAGGAACAGGCTCTGCTGAAAGTTTGGTCAATCTTGAAAGTTTTTTAGCATTTCTAATCTCTCTATTCTAAGAGTATAGGGTTAGGGTTAGGGCTGCAGCATTCTGAGCTCAGCGTGTTTTTTGCACGAATTTTTTCTTGTAAAAAACGGATTTAATTTTTTTTATTTTTCATAATTAGTGGATTGTCTGATTGACGATGACTTTATTGAGAGATTCTTCAATCGGATCTTAATGGCTGCTTCTCAGACAACTTTAATATTCATGTTTGTATCTATGAAATATTTTTTGTTTATTTTTATTTGTAAAACCAGAAATATATGACATCTTCCACCCACTTCACAAGGATGTACTGCTTTCTGGTCTTACCGCTAAAAACCCTGAAAAACTGCATCAATCTATCAAAATTGGAAAATGTTTGGATTATGATTCAAAGTTCCAGAGTAAATGGTTTTAATTTGCTGGAAATCTTAAAGGAAGGATGGATATTTAGTATAAATACTACAGAATGGGCAGAAATGCTCCAGGTGAAGAAAACACAGAAGTGAAAAAGTGTCCAAAGGTAACGAGGTGCAGGCAGCTGATGCTGGGAGCTGCAGGTGAAGGGAGATGATTCACCTGTAAAAGCAGCAGATGAGAGGAGAGATGAAAAGCTAACAGCAGCTATAAACGAGGCGCAGAGGCTTCCAGCTGGAAATAGCAGGAACTAAAATATCTACGTGATAAACTAGAGTGAAAGCTGCGTCGCAGCGCGATCATGTGACGCTGCTTCAGCTCGACTGTCCGACTCATCATTCATGCTTCGATTCCATCCTTTGAAGCTCAGGATGTGAAAGTAGCAGAAAAGTCGTCTCACATCAGTGTGTTGCAGAGTGGGGTGTTTCCTGTGGAGGTAGGCCAGGCGCGTGGCACGGATGGCGTTGAAGAAGGAGACGATGACCTGGAGGGAGGGAGAAAGGCATGATGGGAATGTCTCTTTTTCTTTGCAACAGTGGAAGAATGAAGATGTTTTGCCTCACCTGCCCGTTGTCATGGTAAACAAACAGGTTCCTGGTGCGCTCGTCATCCAGGTAGGAGATCTGCAGCCCATGAGCATGACCCATCTTCTCTGGTTGGAAATGTGCATTCAGATCCTTCATGCTGATCACTGCTTTGGGAACCTTGGACTTGGTTTTGGGTTGAATGCAGATTTAGAGAGACGGCACATAGAAATATGCGCCTAGAAATGACATAATGTCTTTTGAGGGAACTCACATCCTCCTTTGTAAAGTATCTGAGGGTGAAATCCCTCTGAGACAGCTGGAAGGTTCTCTTCAGATACTGCTTGTTGTCTTTGCCCTTCTTCCAGAGTGTGGATTCAAACAGATCTAGAGCACATAGATCAGGAAAACCATTGAACATCCAGCTTTTTGCTTCAATGACATAGAAATATACACCCTGTAAAATAAAGGATGCTGCTTTATCTAATAAAACCTGCTGCAGCCACTCTGTCTGCACTGAGGAAGGTTGACTCACCTCAGCATGCTGGAGGCTCCAAGGTGAACTAACAGCATAACTAAGTAAGTCTGACCACCTAATCTGCACAATAATTGGTGATTGAACTTTTTATTACGGCTTTATCTTATTCTAAGACATAAAAACGTGAATTGAATAATTTAATTACACATCCACCTCTCAAAGTGGGACTAGAGCAACAGAGAGAGAAATGCAGACGGACGAATTGTTGTTCCATAAAGTCCAAATCTTCTGACCTTTCATTCAAAGCTAGAAGGAAAATGGAGAACTGGGAATAAATTGACCTCTGAGCTGATTGGTTTGGCAAAAACGCTGTTCTAGCTCCATTTTAGAGACATAAACAGCGTTGAAACGTCGTCTTCTAAAAACATCCAAGTACTACGTGACTAACTGACTTCTTAATAATAATAATAATTTAACTTTATGGATCTCACATTGGAGAAATTTATCTCTGCATTTAAACTCCCCTAAATGTTAAACTCCTTCTTGCTTGATGATGTAATAAAGAATTGCCAGAACTAGTAGAAGCTTTCCGGAACATTCAGCCTGAACGCTTCTCAGATCTCCAACCTTTGGCCGAACGTTCCTTCTGCTCCTGGAAAGGTTCAACAGTTACCTTGATTGTAAGTTTGCAGAAAGTCGTTTCTTTCTCCAGTGAACTCCCTTCTTTCATACTTTGCACGGATCCATTGGTCCTTCAGAACACTGAAGCAAAGCAAAAACATTTCCATTTGCTTTCACCAGGATTTACACAATCATTCGCTCAGGTTTGTGTCCAATCACCAAATTATTCTCCTCTGCCGTTCATTAAAAGGACAGATGAGTCCTTGCCTACGACCTATGCTAACACCACCTATGCTAACACCACCTATGCTAACACCACCTATGCTAACACCACCTATGCTAACACCACCTATGCTAACCCTAACCACTGCAACTAATGTAAATTTAAGCTAGTAATTTTTTCTTAAAATTAGTTCATTTTTATTGAATTGAGGAGGTAAGTGAGACACTTTGAATGGAACAATTTACGTTTAAATTAAGAAAAAACTGTTGCAAAAATCATCTTATCTGCCAGCTCACATTAAAGGTAAATATTCTTAATTTAAGAAATGTTTACTTATTTCTAGATCATTTTTCCAGTGTGAGGTGAAATAAAAAAGGTGAAATAAAAACTCACATGCAGTCGTGATGCCGCGGCCTGTAATAGAAGGACGGGACACACTTCTCAAAAACAGCTTTGGCAGCAGTATTTCCCATCTGTTGCATGAACTGAAACCACAGAATGACAGGTTTTAGGAGGACAGCGCATGTTTTTCAGCTTCCTTCCTATTTTTAAACCAAACTTTTAGAAATCTGTGTTTATTGAATAGTTGCTGCAGGTTAGAGGTGGATTATCACTTATTTCCAATTAGCTGAAATCCTGGACAGTAAAATGTTTCACCTGAAAGGAGAATTACAGTTTTGGGTCAAATGTTAGAACTTCAAAAATGTTTCAATATTTATCAAGAACTCCTTTGCGGTCCTAAGTTGCTACCATGGTAACCTGCACACAGGGGTTAGTAAAGGAGTGTGATAATAAGCAAACCGAGGTTCTTCAAAAATATTCTTCCAACTGTGAAAACATAAAATCTACAACAGATCACTTTATAATAAGACTTTTAGGCCAAATATGAAGCAAATAATTCTAAAGTTGATGCAACAAATCAGAGAGTTTCGTTTAATGAAAATGTGTTGCATGCGAATTGAAACAACAAACAAACAAGGAAGCATAATTTGAATCAATGAGAAATGAAGCAAAGTTCCCATCTCTACCTGAACTAAAGAGTCTTCCCAGTAATCCAGGCGTATGGATTTCACTCTGCTGACTGAGGGCAGGTTACGGTGCATCCCAGAACAGTTCAGGCACACAAACACGCCGAGCGTGTACGAGGCCCAGTCAGGCTCTGCGAGGGCGAACCAACATGTGGGAAGAATGAAAGGAAAAAAACCAGATCATTTTCTGTTCTACAGGTAGCGTGGCGGAGGCTTCCTTTCAAAGGGTTGGCTGATCGCTCTAAGAGGAACAATTAGGTCATAACGCAGCTACATAGAGTCCCTGCTTCCCTAAATCACACTCAAACGGGACCAAAGCAATAGAATCTGGGTTTTTAAACATTTGCTTCTAGCTGCTCTTTACTGTTATTAAATGATAGCACTGAAACAAGGAATTAAAGAAATGAAGGTTTTAAAAAGTCCAGATTTTCCCCCTGCAGCTGAGGGCGTACTCACCAGGAGCAGCACAGTCAGCACACAGGTCGTTTCCCGCCTGCTGCACCAGATCCAGCAGGATTCGGTTGTTTCTTCCCTGACCGGCCATAGAGGAAAGCTGCCTGTTTCTACCAGCAGATTCAGCTACTAGGTATCAACTCCATGCTGGTTCCAGCTCTGCTCGGCGGCAGCTAGAAAACGCTGCTTCTTCTCACTGGGCCGGTATTTCCTCTTAGCAGGGCAGCATCATGAAGTTAATTGTTCTGCATACAAAACACAGACATCCAGAAATAACCGAGAAAGGAAGTGAAAGAAACGTCAGTCGGCCTCACAGTGACTGACTGACCGTATCAGCCCTCTGGCTCATATAAAAGGTTGGAGTTTGACTGGAATGGGGGAGTCCTTATCAGTCACTCTGTTACTCTATAACAGCTGGAGAAGCTGGCGGCTGACGGATACAGACTGTTTGACCAAACTCTGCTTGATCAGAGATAATGTTTAAGAGATTCATTGATTTTCATCCAAGACGAGGTTTGGATGTTTGGTGGAGCAAGACGTGAACCTGCAGGTTCCAGACTAGCACCTTTAGCACTGAGGGTGAAGCTGGGGAGGGATTGTTCACCAGGACAAAGGGAGGAAAGGTTTGGACAAACTTGGACAATAAACTATAGAGAATAAGGAAGCAGCCGATAGATGTTTGAGCAGAATGTGAACATAAAAGGTTAAGAGTTTCATTTTAAAGCCACTAAACTGAGAAAAGCAGAGAGGTCGTCTTTCTCATCCCTGAAGAGGTTTAACCTTTTAGTAACTTTA